TGTTTAAGTATGAAATTATCCATACTAATTTCAACTTATTGATTGCTGAGTCGAGGCAGTGTCTTGACAACGCCCTTCGTCTGTTCTCATAGGCCCACCATGCGTTGAGTCACTCAACGGTGCGCAGGTTTGCCTTCCAAGAAAGTGTTGCACGCCTGACTACAACTGTCAGCGAATGCTGTAAGCGGAATTTTATTGTCTTTTTAACAGCTTTTCACGCAAGCAGGAATCAGTAGGTAATTTCGGCAGATCGAAATTTGAGCAGTGGCTTGAAGTCCTGCACTTTTAACCTTCTAGAGTACATAAACCGCCAATTCCATCGCGACTACTATTGTGCTTGAAACGAAGATGAGGCCGTTAATTTTTACTCAAGATAGGTTCTCGTTGGAGCATAAAGCTGAATCGCAAGACAAGTTGTGGCAGGGACCAAGTGTAATTTCACAGGAAAAGCGGTCAGCAGTACATGTGTGTCCTGAAAGTACAACCAGCACCTACTTCGGTACGTGATGGTGATCCACTGGCCACCATCTTGTGGCGAATTCGATAGCGAAAGACCTTAACTACTGTGCTCCCACAGTCGTGTTGCTTGGTACAACTCTCAAATTCATGGGCCAACTGCATTAGACAGATGCAAACTGCGCTAAAGCATCGTTAGTCTACAAACTGAACTTCCACCTGAAGTTAGGCTGTTTGAGGTCACTTCCCCTCTGTGTCATAAAGCTCTTTTCACCACCAATATCACTGACCTTTGAAACTACACGAAAACAACCGCATTTTCTCACCGCTTTAGCAATTCCAAATGCTCCCTTCAAGTACCCAAAGCAACAGCTTCAGGCGTCGACTCGCCGCTACGAGGAATTTCCCCATCGTAACGGGTCAGGGAGGTAAATACTGAGATAAACGTAGCGCTCAACTGCGATCCAGATTGAGTGACATTTTTCTCCAAAAACACAACAAAGTGTGCGAGGTGGCGAACGCCAACCGAACCGAATTGGGAGGGAAAGAAGCGAGCGAGCCGTCACGCCATAACAAGTCACCACCAACCTATCGATACGCTTTATGAGGAGAGAGCTAAGAAGGCATACATACACACACACACACATCACAGCAGAGGCAGCGAGGTTGCGGATAGGCTTGCGCCAACGACAACATGCATCCACATTGTGATGACCCAAACCATTGGATACGAGTCGGTAACCATCTGCGTGCGACTTTACAAGCCTAAGCGCCAATAGGCCTAGGCGACCCCACCGGACAGACCCATTCGCTAATGCTTCACCAATGATTGAAGACTCGTAATACGCACGGACCAATATATTTTCAATCAAAATCTGCATTGGTTCAGTCGCTCGCGAGGCGAGAGAAGAGAAGACGATGCACCGGCAATCCGGCGTCCAATTCCCTTCAAGCTTGTTGCAAGGCGGCGTGGAATGGCGTAGTTGGAGGACTGCGTCGCTTGCTGGTCGTGCCTTGCCGACGGCCTATCATTGCAATGCCACATGGAGCACGGTCCAATGGGCGAGAACTTCACACCGCATGCACCAATGAAGGCTGCAAATGTCACCACAAATAGCAGCTCGAGGGTAAAAAAATAGATAATAATGAGTTTTAGCAAGGAAAAGCATTTTCCTGCAGGACTGCTCGCTTCTGTTACTCGTTATGTTTGTCTGCTTTGTTTTAATGCGCTCGCCGCCATTCGACGTGCGCAGTTTCACTTTGGTAGGTACGGCTAGTTTTACGACGGGCTGCTCCCTTCTTCTGTACAATGTAGGTTGTTTGTCCTCTGATTTAAATATTTTATTCGTAAAAGCTGCAAAATTGGGCTTTAATACAGTTATGTGTTTCACACGTATGTGTTCTAACAACCCGGAAAGGCAAGTTAGAGCTTATTGCCGTGTTACAAGAGTGCTCATTATTTACTTCACGACTTCCTCAGTTGTTTCGCCGGTAATTTTCTTTAGCTTATTTGAAACCTGCTACTAATCAGTAAATATTTGCCATAAACTTGTCATTGCGGAGATGATCGGCCAATCAGAGTCGGAAATTTCTGCAAACTCCAATCAAAGCTTGAATTGTCAACAGGCGTTGGCTTTCAATGAAATCAGTCAATCAGTGACTTTCATAGTTTGATTTACGCAGTTCCAGGCTCTAATGATTCCTTTTGATGCATCAGATAATCTGTCTCCCAGAGGAAAATCAGTTAATGTCTCTTCCTTTTAGGGAAGAGGGCAAAGTAAACGTTCGTTCTCTTTTCAAGTTACTTCTTTTCAGTCTCTTTTATACTGTTCATTAGTTGTCCTTGTTCTTTTATTCAGGGAAGGTTACATCCAGACAAGTCAGATGGTTCCGGCTCAGACCTTGCTTCAACCACTTCAACAACAGTTGATTGTCGATCCAAATGGTACTGCAGCGGGTCAACAACCGACCTTCGCCTTTCAAGCAAGTGATGGTAGCCTAATTCCAGTTCAACTTGCTGCTTCACCAAACGGTGGACCTCTCATTATGCTGATGCCGACTCAAACTACCGGTCAGGGTGGTCAGCCTGTCTACACCACACAGGCTATTACGACTGGTGCTGCGCCCGCTACCGGAACAATTGATGCCTCTGGGCAAGCGACTGTTCTTGGGTCCACTGTGGAGGACGAGAATAACCAAGCCGCGGCCCTGCAACAACAACAGACTCAACAATCGGCCGGACAGGTACAATTGGTGCACCAGCAGACCGTGACCGCTACTCAGGCAGCGAGTCAGCTGATGCAGCAGACAGCAGCCCAGCAGAGCAGTGCTTCCATGGCTGGTGTAGGTCAGGAGGAGCCTCTTTACGTGAATGCAAAGCAGTACAACCGGATCTTAAAAAGAAGGCAGGCTCGTGGCAAGCTGGAAGCTCAGGGTCGTATTCCAAAGGAGCGTAGGAAGTATCTTCACGAGTCCCGTCACCAGCATGCAATAAAGCGGGTTCGTAATGCTGGGGGTCGATTCTACTCGGCACCGACTAGTAAGTAAAATGTTAGTGCGGAGCTGGACTGACATTCGGTTTAACTCAATATTTTTATCTCATGTGTATCCATGGTTTGCAGTTTTTGCTTTAACGCCTTGTACCTTTTAGCTTACATTGAAGGAGCTCAGTGATGTCGAATTCGTGGTTTTCTGTGCGTTTTATTCTCCCAAATTTATCTACAGAGCTGTTTGTTTCTACTCACCACACAGATCCCTCGTGCCGCATCGCTCTTGTTGTTGTCAGATATGTCATAGAAAATTCAATTGAACCGTTACGATATTCTGTGCCTGTATAGAATCCTTATTTTTTGTCATTGTAAATACAGCTGGGACTCGCGCTAAGACCTTCTTTTGCATCTTGTTTTTGACTGAGTGTATGGTGTGACAACGTAACTTCTGAGCCTTTGTCTCGCGATGTGTTCCAAGGAGGTTACACAAAATTGGCGGACTTGCGCACCTGAGTTCTTTAGTTGGTCGTTGATACTTTTTTGCTACAGTTTGGCGGTGCGATCTGTTCATCTGGGTAAGGAGGGCTAGGCCCCAGGCATGAGTCCAAAGCATTGCCTTATACGATGTGTGGCCTGTGTTTCGTGGCTGCCTGTTTTGCTGATATTCCTCCGGTCACGGCCCAGTTTTTAATAAAGTTGTGGAAGAGTTTGTCCTGTTTAAATGTTGCTACTTTTTATGGTGCAGTAGTGTGCGTTGAGTACTAGGGCTTGCAGCCGAAAGGGATGCAGCCACCGCGGTGCCCAACGAAGACGTTAAGGTAATGGCGACTGGCAGTGCCTCTGTTATTGCTACATTTGAGGGCTAGGGGATCGGTAGTATAGGCAACATAGCAGTAGCTACAAGCTATCAGTGTGGATGCCGAAGAGGCCTTATTTTACGGGAATACGCAAAGAACTAAAGTAGGAGCTTACCACTTGTTTTTTTAGTTGATGTTACGGTTGAGGGCTCAAGCAATGGCGGTAATATCTCCTCACTTTTGTGCAAATTAATTCGCCTAAATTTCTGTTTTTTTTTTCACCTAAAGGCTCCTAAAATTTAATAGCACGCTTATGATTAAATGCTCGATAGACCTTTTGATTGCTCAGGAAATTCAACCGATTTGAGTCTTTTGAGTTGGACATTTTTTGTTGCGCAGTTTTGATGAGCTTGGTGCTGTCACGACGATAATGCAGACGCCTCTTTGTCAATATTCCCTAATAGGCGTGGCTGTGATATCTCGAGATTGCTTACTGGTACCAGCTCTAATTTATTTCACCCATTCAATTACCTTGAAGTGTGGGAATAAAGGGTTTGTTTGTGACTGCGACCATTTTGAATGGAGGGGACCTCCACACCCAAACCAAGATCACGTGTGTCCTAATCGATAGCTGGGGGCACGGAGGAGCATTAGCACGGACACGGGATGTCTGGAGAGCCCTCAACCACTGCCGTGAGACACGTCGACGCGGAGGGCCTGAAACGCGTATTGGGTGACAACCGCCTCGTAGTGATAAATTTTTGTGCGCCATGGTGCGGACCCTGTCGTCTGCTGGCGCCCAAAGTGGAGCAACTAGCCAAGCAACATCAAGACATAATCTTTGTTAAGGTGGATATTGACGAGTGCGAGGAGGTCTCGGCCCAGTACAACGTCTCCGCTCTGCCCACACTCATAGCCGTGCGAAATGGACACATCGTTGGACGCGTGGTTGGAGCCAGCGAGGCGGATCTGCAGCAAATGGTCAATGCTAATCGCGACCAATGTTAAGTCATCATAGATGCGTGTTTTTATTCCCACCCAGTCTGCTTGGTTTAGCATCCATTAATTTTTAAATATAAGTTAGTTTGATTTTGTCTAAATTTTGGGAATTTTCCCTCTACGCACATGGCGATAAATGCTGGAAAAGTGAAACAGTAGTTTATTCCAAGTACCCCATCTGGAGTCACTTTTAGAGCCAACGATTAAGGCGTGGTTGAAACTCGCTGATTTTGATTAAGTATACTAGTCCTCCACCGACTTCCAAAATAGGGCTTTTCTCATAGGTGCAATCATTTTTGATACATGTTTTGAAATAGCTTAATGGAGTAACTTGGTTGTGTCCATGATGAACACCCTAGAATCACGCTTGAATTAGCCAAAAACAGGTTTCAGAAGTCATGCAAACGACTGACTTATAAATTTGACTATTCACACGAGAAGCTGGTAGAATTCGATTTTGATCTTTGGAATTCATGCAAGTTATAGCGACTGTTGTGTAGCGCCCTCAGACTTCCCTGAAGATGAATGAGGATATAACACTCGGGCAGAGCATATATTGCTAACTTGCAGAAGGCCTGGATGGCTACTGGCATGGTCCGGAGGTAATGCCGCTCAAAAAAAGTACAATAGGGGGGTTCCTAAGTGCCCTCGAAACCAAAACGAAGGGGTAAACAAAGTTCTGAGTAACCCTCTCCTCTCTTGTGCATTGCCCCCGCGCTCCCCTTGGTTAACCTCCTGTGTCGACCATCACAGCGTAGGCGGTGCTCTAAGGAAAACCCCCACCAGCCAACTTCGTCAGTCATTGAATCTGTTTGTAACTGGGATATCTGACCGCGGCGTCACTGATCCCTCCTGGCAACTTTACTGGATCTGGAATTTCGTCCTATGTGGGAATTGTATTGGGAGACAGGCGAATGTGCTGGCCGTCTCGTATGTCCATCGCCAGAAGTCAGAACTGACCCCGAAGCAGAGTCATTCAATCAGGAACGGGGTTTAAGGTAGTTTAGTCGGGACAAAGTGTTGCGTTCATTCCTCCTTGCTACTTTGTTCTAACTTCAGTGCCGCCTTGCTGTTTCTATTCAGAAAGTGGAGTGGTAAAGGAGGTGTTGCATGTTCACTCCGTAGGAATTCCCATATAGGTACCGTAGACATCACCGTGATAAGCTTGTCCAGGTGATTCACGGCCGCAGTGAGTGTAGCTTCAGTTGTTAACGTCATTCCTGTAGAACACCGGGTTGGAGTAGTTGCCGAAGGGTGACGTCATTTCCAATCCTTCTGCTGGGGGGTCGTCACAGGTCCTCCTTCGCAACAAATGCCCTTCCCAATCACCAGGTTTGGCATTCAGCAATGGAAGTCAGAGTGGTTGACCTTTGGGATCGGGTTTGCTTTCCGCTGCCACAAATGTAGCGCTCCAAGGCGATCGAATACCTACTGCTCAGACCGATTATGCACTGTCGACGTATAGGTGGCCATGCCACCCAGCGAAAGTACAGAAGCAGTCTTAAATGGCCCGTTACCAAAACCAAGAGGTAAACAATCATTGTAATACAGTTTACTATTTCCCTTTCGAATTCTAGCAACTATCATTCGCGCATAAAGATCGTCCGCACCCTATCAACCAAGTAATGGGATATACTTTAAAAGTTCCAAAGTTCGGTATGTAAACGAAAATAAAGGGTTCTGCTCCAACGTTCCCATAGCCACCAATCATTGTTAGCAAGAAAGATTGAGAAGTGACAGTTCAAATCACCCATGCCTTTATGGTCCCCCTTTGCTCCTCATTTAGAGTTTTTTTAAACAGACTAATATTTTTGGTTTTGTGATGGTTATCGTGTGATAGTCACTTATTACTGATAAAGTTGACTACTCATAAACAAAATCGAAGTCTTGGGCTAAAATTCCTGTTTGTGTGCAAAAATACTCCCCTCATGCTGAAGAGTAAATTATTTATATCACAACAATATTCTGCGCACATAACTGGCGTAGTTGCGTAATACACAACTGTCTCATGGCTTTCAGTGAATTCCAGTTCACATCACTATCGGTGGCAATCTCTCATCGACATGCTTGGTATCCTCGCGATCTACTGCGTTATTTTATGGTCCGCCGACTACCATGAAACCGGTGCGACTCGTAAATGTTGAAGCATACAAGTGAATGACAGCACATACAGAGAAAAGCGAGTATCCTGAGACGCGCACAATTGACACTCCTTTGCCAATGGAAGGTGAATGTCGATTTAATCAGCACATTGTCATGGCAAAAAGTCCAACTTGGAAGGCGAGAGCAGGTGCACATCACCTCCCCTGCCTGGGTGTTGTTTATTGCGTGACCCGCCTAGTGACTCACGTCTAGCAATTGGTCAGCGGTGAACCACATCTGCCCTGCCCTCAGTCCGTTTCCTCGTCGCGAAGCCAACGCCTCAGAAAGGGCGAAGGCAGTTACGCATGCGTCTTTTGCCATCGTAATCTCGCCAAAAAAAACTAGGTTGCAGTGGCAAAGGCATTCACTTCCTGTTAAACTTGCGCAGATTGCGCTCGAGACTACAATGTGAGCACAGGCGTAATCTTATTAAAGTGAAACCAAGTATTGTAAACGTTACTTTACTTCTTCAAGCCAGTTACGTGGGCGTTAATGGTTGATCAAGCTGGGTGCAGATTGCATGATCCTCTTTTCTCACGCTGAATATTCACGTGACCTCAGGCGCGGTCGTCATACCCGACATTGCACCTCTACCTCGCATGTAATGCCCCAAGGCGTGGGAAAAAATCTGGTCTTCATATTATAGAGACATTTAATGTAATTACATGTTGATTTGTAAGATTCCACAGTGCCACGCAACTCCGTCACAGACATTGTCTCATTTGGCTCATCGGGCAACAGAAGCCACAAAATTTCACCCACATCTATTGTCTGGCTAAAAATAAATTCCCTCCAACCCCTGATTAGTGATGCCAGCGACAGTGGTAGATCCATGGCTTCTAATTGTCGTTCGGAATCCCTCTTCATTATTAATCATAATTTTTCCAAACGAAAACGATGGACAAGGTAGTAATAAGCCTATTATGACATTCAAGTTGCCCCTAAAGTCTTATTGGTTTAAGTAAATTTATTATGGCAGATTTTACAACTGACATGGAGGTCATAACTTCTTAAACTTTATTATTACAAATGCCACCATGGTGTCATGCCCTACTCACTTCCGATTGATTTGTTTTCATTGGTTAGAACGGCACAGGACAGGACAGGAATGCTATCGCGGACATGCCCTTTGCCACAACAATAGCAGTGGCACTGCATCTCTCAGGTTATCTGTCGGGTAAATCGTTGTGCAAATCACCGTAATTTGTCACATTGTTAAAAGTAGCTTGTTTTGAGGGGATAGCCTAGAATTAACTACTGCAAGTAATATTTGTTACAGTAGAACCCACCATCCTTTTAATGCAACCATACGTGACTGCGATTGCACTACTCACGTTTCCAGTCTCTCTTTACCGCTATAAAAGCGTAATTGATAGATTCCTGACACTTCAGAGAGAATTTCAGCGCTAGAACGACTGCGGAGTGGCTGGATATGTCCAATACCTGCGACAAGTCATCGAATCACTGTATTAGCTTTCATCTTCTGGGCTTCACATGACGTGAGGTTTTCAAAGGAAGCTTGAATTGATTTGTGCAAATAAATAACATAAAAAGACGGGAACCCTAAAGACCCAAAACAGAAGACCCAAAAAACACCTGGTGGATCTCTCTCGCACATCCAATGGATGCAGAGGCGTGACCTTGGGTGGGGAGGTCAAAGGTGGCATAAAATAAGATATCTGTCTGTAGTTCAGCCGAAGCAGTAAAGATCCAGCAATATTCGATGATCTTGTAACAATCTGGGTGAAACCAAGTAAGAAAAAAAAAGGGTAGAAAGAAGTAACAATCATAATAAATATACATCCTTGCACCACTCGCTTCAAACAGATTCTGCAGAGTACAGAGATCGATGCATTATTTTTAATTGTGGTGCATTGCACAGTCCTCAAAACTTCTCTTTCCTCTAATCACATATCCCAGTGAAATCTGCCTATAAAGATTGGAAACAATTTGTCACAAAGTCTTCGTCGATCAAAAGTGTTGAGACTAATTTTAAAAGCACTAAGCGAACTATGCCTACAATCAAGGCCGGTTTTGCCCGCATGTAGCGCTACAATCCTTCCCTGAGAAATAACATGGCATACCAGCCTGAAAGAATGTCCCGAGTTAATGTACAGAAGGATCACAGGACTATATACTTGAAGAGGATGATGACAGAACGGTGGAGATGAGGTAACCGAGCACTTAAATGGAAAACAGGAGAAAACAAATCCTATTTTGCTAAATGCTTCCTCATTTTGAGCATCATCTCGAACGCTCTCCGTAACCATCATTCTGCTTCTAGTGAATCGTAGTCCACCACGCGTCAGAAATGAAGGCCGTACGATGGATACTCCTTAATTCATTGAGAAACCATCGGGTCCTGTGTTAGAGTGGACGATATTCTACAGCGACCATATCCCGTATCAAGCATACCTCCTATGAGCATTTGTCTTAAGGTCAAATGAGGGAGGAAGGACCACGCCCTCATGTCATGGCCATTAGTAGCTCGGCCTACAGCAAACTTTCGATAGGCTACTGGCCGTTATGCAGGACCGGAAATTAAGACTGTTGTCAAAGGTCACTGCGATGCCCCTATCTCTGCTCCTGTGAGTTGCTACAAGCTCACCCATCTTCAGCCCCCTGTAACGTTAATTTTGAACATCACTGGTCGGCAACATCAAGATTGTTGCTCCTTGTTAATTGAACACTTTTACACCTTTCACAAAGGCAGCTCCCTAGTCCTACTTGAAGACGGCATAAGATGTACGTGTTTGAAGTAAACTTAGCCCGGAATGTACAAGGCAGCTAATGAGCTATTAAGGCTCCGCGTAGTTAAATGAATATCGCCCTAATATAGACATTCTAATGTTGTCTTCTTGTTGTTCTAGACATTGTTGGGATCACTGACATTAAATTATTAAAAAGGAATCATTTGAGCGATACGCACCTCTTGGGAGGCCTAACTCATCCCAGTTACTTTCGCACACAAGAAGGAGGCTAGGCCGAGGGAAAGCGATGCGAGTGTGAAAAGAGGCGAAAGTACTTAGGCGAGTCACGCTGCCACCTCTCTGCGTGTCACACCGCGTTCCTCTCCCGCATCGATTAGTGCCTCTGGGAAGGCATTTTCTAGCATCCACGCTCCTTGCCGGCGAGCGTTAAAGGCCAACCAGGCACAAAAATGATGCTATTGTGGCGGTTAGGCACGCAGAAGCGAGTGGGAAACGTGTCCTTTCACTGATTATCCATGTGTATGGCAAGAGCCAGTCCAGTTCACACACTGTCAATCAGAATGTGTAGACGAAATTTGGAATGAGGGAAGGTTCACGTAAACGGCAAATCAGCAGACATCTACAGGTGATGAGCCATAGCCTTGGTAAGACATCCGGCTGGGGTAGGTGTTTTAAAGGCAATCCTGGCCGTGGCATTTACTACACTGAGCAGTCACTCCCGTGAACATTCACTCAGCACATGTAAAACTGCCTGGTCAAATCAAGTCAACTTCCAGCCTTGGTGAATCTTGTCTAGTACCAGTCAAACACTGGTACAAGTTTATCAACGTAGCAGTGGGGAGATCATGCGGAAAAGCCTGCCTTCTTCCCTCGCCGACTTTTGTCCCTGTAGTACGTCAGAACTTCACCCGGGAAGTGCTGAAGCCCGGACATGCAAGCGAGAAACCACACTGCAGCGTCCCATGCCAGCTTCCAAGTGCAAAGCAAGACCTATTACGGGCGCGCAGAAAGACCGAGCCGTCGTATTGCCACGGCAGCGGCAAAAACCACAGTGGCTAAAGAGGACCGTGCTTACTCGAATCGGCCCGCCAAAACTGAACAACATACAAGCAACAATTCACCATCTTCCGCCTTGAAAATACCTTCCAGTTGTAATCCCACTGATCCCTCGCCCCCTCGCAACAAGAAAAAGTTGAGATTTTACGTCATTTGCTCTTTTTAGCACACGCAGATAAATTTCGAAATCAAAAATGCCTTAGAGGTGTGCTTTTGCACGTGTTTGTGCTGTTATGATATGATGATGATTAATAAGAAAAGGACCTGTTTCAAGAGTATGTACAGAGGGGCGCGCAATGTCAAAGTGCTGGCGATAATAATATTATCAATACCAAGAGGGAAACCACACGGCCACAAAAGGATAAGATGTCGAGAGAGTGGAAGAAGCAAAAATATACAGATTATGTCAATACGAAGGACTATATAAAAGTACATATGTTTAGATTACGAAGACGTGGAATAGGGCGTGCGGGGGACGTGGTGAGGCGGCTCTGTTGGTTGGGCTTATGACTCGAGCATGGATGTGTATGTACACAAAAGACAAGTGCAATGCGGCTGATTGTCAGAAGACGTCAGGGTGTATGTCATACTTGATTGTATACAATTTTGTGCACGCGTGGGCATGGACGCATCTTGAGAGATCACATGAGGAGACAAATGCATGGGTGAGTAGATAGGTGCATGTTAGAAATTTCGGATGGGATGTGACGTAGAGGTGCTAGGGATGGACGAGTAGCAGCATAAGAAATCTGTAAATCAGAATAAAATCTCAGCGGGGAGAAGAGGAGAAAGGAAGGATGTGAAACTAATCCGTGACCCCTTCAACTTGCTCAAATCGCCCTCTCCAGGCCTCGCTCCTACTTCCATTCGATGGGTCTGCCACCTGAACCTTTGGTTCCTCCTTGTCAACTTCTGCAAGATCGATTACTCCCTCGTCTTCACACTCGCACTCAGGCTCGGCCACCTCCATGTGCTCATCGCAGGGGTAGGTAGTGCCAGCGGTGGAGGAAAAACATTGAAGAGGTGGCTGAGGAGGCTCCTTCGCAAATACCTTTGATTGCAGCCGAAATTGGCTATCCACGATAGGCCTTACATCAGACTAAAAATTGAGGACGAACTGGGGGTAAAAAGGAATTAATGTTACCAGGTCAACAACAATCCAAACAATCTTGTACCAAAGGGATATTTTCTGCATCAATGAGCAGATAACAACCCAATACGCCAATAGAGAATTTATTGTCTGCACTTCAATTTCAATTTTTGGGAGCGTGAACAACTCATTATTAACTGGGACTTGAGTACACCAAAAAATTTTTTTAACAAAATATGCAATAGTCCAAACTAACCAATTTCGCAAGACGTTCGAGGAAGGGAATCAATTTCATTAGTTCGTTATCCTCCTGGTCAGTAAACCAGCTTTCAATAGGTATCCCGTTGCTTAGCTGAAAAAAGGATGATCAAATGTGGTGCGTTTATTTGTCTGCGATAACAATGATTACTATAAGCAAGATACGAAGAAAATAGCAGGACACACTGTCTTGCCTGATAGCCAAAGGCTTGGGGGGAGTTGTCAATTATGACGGTTTTAGTTAAGTCCCTTCCTAACACACGCAGGTCCTTTACGTAGTTTCCATTGACAAAAATACAGTTTTCCCGAAACAGTCGGTGTCTGGAGAAAAAGATGACATAAAAGTTTATTGAAATAATGGAGTACACATAATTTTCACCTTTATCACTTACCTAATCCACTGTTTCTTGGGGTCCAGGAGGTTGACAAGTCTATCTGCGTAAACCTTGGTGCTCGCGGTAAAAAGGACAACCTCGTATAGTTCCGACACTCTTTCAAGGAAATGAAAGAGATGTGGCCTTACACGCACGTATACCTATATGAAGAAAGCGTTAAAAGGCGGAAGAAATGGAGAATTAATATTTGAGGAAAAGACCCACCATGTAAACGACACCCTGAAAAACGACCTGAAAGACAAACTGAGCGTCTACAAGGGGTTCGAGGCTGCAGTGCACCAGTGTCTCATCTAGATCGAGAACCAGACAGTGCTCCGGACACGACCGTGTCCGCTTTGGCAGAGCCGGTGGATAGGCGAAGAGCTCGTCCGACACCGGAGGGAGTGTCCGAATAAAAGCGAATCTAGAGGGAGAAAAAGCAGTAAATCAACATATGGCTTTCTTGCCAAGGTTTTAGTCGTCGACTACTTCGGTTCAGACATTAATATTTGATTTAGAAACAAAAAATATGACTATAATTTGTTAGATAGCCATAGGGAAAAACTATGATTAACAGGGGAGGGGGGGGGGGTGAAGGTAACAAACTATTCGAATAAAGCCAAGATAAACACTAATGACGACGCAGACTTACGGCCGGGAGAATCGCGCTGAAACCAAGGTATACGATTGAGAAAAATGATAGACTTTTAAACTAAATGAGTTGTTCCGGTAGCAACTCACAAATGTCCCACAATTCAGAGGCGTGAAATACCATTTACAAAAGCGGAGATAAACGTATCACCTACGGGTCTACTTCACACAGTTCACCGGCATCAGGCTCATATTCTTCGGCTGATGGTACAGCAGACGGCTGTGGCTCCTCCATAGTCTCTACTTCAGACTGGGCAATCTCCATTATTTCTAGTGATTCGTCTTCCTCAACTTCAGCATCGCCCTTAGTTTCACACCCACTAACGCTAGTGGGGAGAAGGGAGGAGATGGAGGAGGAGGCGGTGGAGTTATCAGCAGAAGGATCGCTAAGCCAAGCACCTTCGTCGACATGGGAGGGGTCAGAAAGCTTTTTGTCATCCGATTCGGCATCGTCGCAGCGGACGGATGATTGCCAGATATGCACTGCAGTAGTCGGGGTAGCGTGGGTTATGAAGGGAGTAGAGGAGGACTTGGGCTGGAGATTAGATTTGGGCGTTGAAGAGTTTTTTGGTTGAGAAATACGAGAGACCTTTCGGCAACGGTAGCGACATTTCCGACAACTCGGCTGGGTCATACCAGAGAGCCGTTGTGATTTGTGACAGGCCCGAGTGATCGATACAATCTAGATAGCGGTAAACGCGTCAGTAAGAGAAGCCAGAGAGGAAACCTGGATTAGAGCTAGGAGCAAACCTTCATTTTGGTGCGCTTGAGATTATTCCGGTTCAATTCGATCAGGTGTGAGTTTGGCTCTGAAGAAGGGAAAACAAAGTCGGTTAACTAAACATGAAATTGAAGTAAAAACGACCGCCGTACCTTGAGCGTTTGATTTAAGCCGAGATTTAGTGAACACATCACCCCTGGAATTTTCCGAGACAGGTAATTCATAGATTGGAGAAAATATCTGCCCAGAAATTTTTCGCCGAGTCCGACGAGGAGATGAGCAAGCAACTATGGGTTTTCTCGATAGCACTGGTGACATCACGATTATTCTAGCACTGAATAAAACGCATGCGGAGTGACAAGGACTAGGAATTGACAGTGACGGTAGGCAAACATTTGACCTTATGACAGCTGCAGTATTGTCAAAACTTACTACAGTCGTATGTTACGCGTATCAACAATAACCAAAGAAAAAATCACATTAGGATAATCAAAGCAACCGTAGAATCCAGGGCATTCTACTTACTTATCAAAACCCTGTCGATTTAAAGGCCAAAAAAATTACCTGAAACAAAAGTGCGCAATTATTGTTGGCTGTCTATTACAGTGGAGTCGACCCGTAGGAAGAGATTCTCAGTCTTGGTGGAGGGACCAATTCTAGAGATTTATGGATTACCATATCTGTTAATTAAGACTCACAAATAAACGAACGCGTCTACTTCAAATAAAAGTTCCAAATACAAACAAATGGTATTCGCAGAAAACAGCGAAAAACCCATCCTTACGGAAAACACCTGAACAGGGCGCTGGTTATGCATACCAAGCAGTTTAAACAATGAATCGTCTCAAAAAGTACTTTTGTGACACAGTTCTTTGCACAGATCTAAACATTACAACTGGTTGATTTATCATTGTCTTCAAGATGAATTCGGTCGTTATCTCCGCATTCGCGAATTTTGACTAACATAATTATATGGTGTGTTTTCTTCTTGTGCTCCATTCTCATACCACTTCTTGCTTTAAAAATGCAATAAATACTTTTTAGGAGTTTTGATGTTCTTGAGATGTTTTATAGCTAGCCTACCAATATATAGATTTGCTGATTAGTTAGTGGTGCCATTTAAATTCATTATGCATGGCAGAAGTACATCCTGCAGCGACTAGATGGTCCACATGGTTAAGCACAATTAAACCAAAATTCAAGCCACTACGTTGCTGCGAGCTTAGCTTAGAATATGACTAGGTAATCGAAGTAATACGGGTGTAACTTTTGTGCGTTATTGTGCAATAGACAATGAAGCCTAATCTGTAAGATGTCAAAGACCCAACTTAATGCTAAGGGTCGAACCAAATGTTGCAGGCATTCAAAAACGCCCACATTGGAATCGTGGGTGAAATTGCTTTACACAATTATGCAGCACTAAAACACTAGCGAGCAAGAAAGTATGCAGTAGGTGATAATCAATGCTTTGGTTTTACCATATGAATCGTATTGCATTCCTATGTAAACCGAATGCACAAATCGAGCATGAAGTGGTTCTACTGCTCCTCCTTAGAATCATTCCTAGGTTTGAAAATTTGGTATGTTGTAGTACTATTATGCTAAGATTATTGAAACCGATATGCGCAGGTTTACAACTCTAAAAGTGGAAGACTGCTAACTCGAAGTCCTGATTGTTCATGTAGTCAAGGAGAAACTAGAGATTAATGCGGTCGTTTTGAGGTTTGGTGCTTAACTAGTAGGGCTCGAAGGTGGAGAAACAAACTGCTAATTTCCTTGCAGCCCTTAGAAAAGACGCTCGTATGCTAATAAGAAAGTTATTGTCACCAGACGCTTATCTGCGCATTCCTTTTAATGATACCTTAGTAGATTCGACCAAGACTAAGGATTTTTTGGACACATTCGTTACAGTTTCCTCCCTTTTAGCCTAAGTGTTTTATCTGGTATTTTGGGATATAAGAAAGTTATAAATTCTAGTTTGGTGGAAGATATCATCTACCCAGATTACATTGGTCATATCTCCGCTATGCTGCTTCGTGCTGAAGGAGAAAGTGCATTTCCTTGAAAATTCTGCTCCTTTACTGTTTTTGATCCCTTTGAATGGGAATGGTTATAAGGCATGGTCGTTTTTTCTAAGTAGCTTTTTACTATTTGATGAACTCACTAGAGCGTTATTATCTTTTTAACCACATCCTTACCCCATCTTCACTCTCAGGCTATAATCTGCTGGTCTGATACACATGAAAGTACGATGAGGATTAGTTCAACTTTTCTGCTCATACAGCCGCTTTGTGCTCAATTCCTTCAAGGCCACCATAGGCCTCGATTAAATTTGTCCCATCAATAGGTGTTAGCCCGTGTTAGATCAAAATGGTAGGCCTGTTCTGTGCATTTTTTGGAACAATGGTATTCAAGTACATTAAAAAGTACCAGTAATATTCGCATCCGATATTTGGCTTTGCAAATATTTTCTTTGTATTTTACGGGTACTACTAAGCGTGGAACCCAAAAATTCATACAAAAACCTTATGAGGTTTTGGCAAAATCCTCTGTTACAATGGATTAATAATGATTCGTTGTACTAACTGGGTACTCCACTTTGGTTTACCTTACACTCTTACTGCCTGACTCGCCGTACTACTGCTATACGCTTTCGATCCTACGAAGAAACCTAATCTTCGGTACCCAGAAGCATTTCCATGCTGACCTGAATTTATTACGAAAACGTTTGGTACACTATATACAACGAAGCTTTACAGGATCTTACGAGCATCCAGCAGAATTCTTAATTACACCCACTAGGTTTTCATGTCCTGAGATTAAGCAGTTATTCCAGGAATCTTGAAGGACTGGCATCCCAGGATACTTGAGTATCGAGAAGATGTTATCAATGAAGTTTCTAGAAGCTGTTCTCATTGTAATCATGACATTCATTCAAGATAATTTTAATGCATGTTCTGGTCAAAGCATTGTGAAGCCGAGGAATACATAAATGCTGACTACTGCGTTCCGTCCCTGGACAAATGCTCTGCTCAGTTTACCTTCGATTCTAACATCGGCCAGAAGCATACTTCATTACCTATTCTGCCGACGACTTCATCTTCATGGCATACAGGAGAGTTTTTAGCTGTGAAGTGCTGTGTGAATTTGCGACTGGTGGCTTGCTACACAAGCATATTTTTATCAGAATAGGATTATATGAACCGCCTTAAACCCAGTTTCGCAAGGTGAAGCCATAAGATAGTGTTAAAATCAAAGTGTAATTAAAAGTCCACATAAGCAGTTTTCTATAGCAGTGTCTTTGCATGAGAATAATGGTTCAGTGTTTAATGGTATTAAATCAATTCTTAACCTAAATTTTGACATTTATTTTCTCTACCACTTATAGCTCTTCTAACAGCCATGCACGATAGGTTTCGTTTATGCTTAGTCATATACAATGAAGTGCTTGCCTCTGGTTGATAATTACACTTGGCTTAATGATTATTTTCTTGTTTGTATGGTTTTCAGCCTTGAAAGTTGGAGTTTATTGGTTGACGTACTTTAGAGGATTTAACAATGCGTGTAAACCGTGCTCTACTTACTAGATATGCCTCGCATATGACTTTCACCAAATTAGGATGTAGTAGTATTAGAAAAGTCAGCCATCAATATGTAGAAGAAAGCCCTGTCCCTACGGACATTTTCCAAAAGAGCTTGCCCATATTACCCGTACCGGATTTGGACAAATCCTTGATTCGTTACCTTGCATCACAGGCATGTGCTATAGTTGTGATATTTTCTTATTGCGCAGGAGGTCATAAGTCGAACTGAGGCGTTTGAAGATTTATGCACCTTGGTGGAACACTTCCGCAGATCCTTTGGTTCCGTACTGCAAGGGAAGCTTCGTGAATTGCATTATTCGAACCCCAACTACATGAGCAAAATATTGCTTGATTCCCATCTGAAGGACCGAAAACCTGTTGCTGTTAACCACAATTCTGTGTACGTATTTAAACAATGTTCTCTTGGAACCGGGTATAACGATGTACGTAGCGCTACCACTTAGTGTGAGGTAATTGTTTTAATCTGTGCTCGAAAGTGCCATATGTGTTTTTTTTGATCATGAGACATGCGATTAATGTTAACACTTTACTAACACTATGCTACCACCAAAATGGCACCCACCTTTGAACATTCTCTCTAGTATATCATTGCAACCACTGTTCACCACAGCTTTTCGTGTTTGTATACTGCAATAGATATAAGGATTTTGAGACGTGTCATGGTCGCTGATGTAAATTTCTGAAGCCCGCCCAACTCTGGCTGAATGAGATACTTTTATTCAATGTAAACGTAAACTATGACCGCCTTCCGTTGTTGTTTTAGTCCGTTTTGAGGGCAGCTAACCTAGTGTACAGTTCACTTCGCTTTTTGGAATCTCTGCGGCGTAATAAATTGAGACCTGACATTCATCACACCATTCCAACCATTACCAACTCCGGCAATTTTGAGCACCTCATTAGCATTCTGCCGTCGTTTCTAGCTACACAGGGAGCCCACTTGTTCAAGGTTAGGAGTGGATTTAATTCGAACTCCTATGCTTCAAAGTCTTCAACTGCCATTTTTGACTTGTTCCAGTCATGTTTCGTAAGGGAATTTAAACTTGGTTTCTTACTTTAGGCATTCCCCCTGGACATGAGTCACTATAAATGCATGTTTCATTCAACTCGAATCCCGGATTTCGGTATTGACCGACTGGAGACCTACCCCGAAGCTCGCCATGTTGTTGTCCTCAGCCGAGGCGAGTTCTACACTTTCGACGCTTTTGATGATCAGGTACGCATCGCCCACTTTTCCTGGTAACCTGGTAAAAACATTTTTTGTCTTTTTAGAAGCCTTACGGTCCCGCTTTTACAAACAAACTGAATTTGAACTATTTTCTCATTCAAGCATCTTATATTTTCATATGGCAATTTTTTGCACTTATAAAGTATGCTGTTACAACCTCTTATAGTTTTATGAATCATCTGAGAATATGGGAGACTTTACAGCCATTTGTTAGCATAGCATTAAGCCTTCCGAGCAAATGAGCCCTCGTGGCTGTTGAAAAATCTCCGTTTCTCGACTTTCTTTGTCTCCTATGTAAAATTTCATTTTCAAATACGTAACGAGTGGGAACCGCTGTCTTATATGCCGGTGTCTACTTATTGTTTATCAGCAGAAATTTTGTTTAAGAACAAAATGGTGTCAGCGGAGCAGCTGGTCTCCAATTTCGCATTCATACGAAATCGGCCACGAGGCAGCACAGAGAAACCCAGCGTGGGTCTCCTTACGACGATGAATAGGAACTGCGCGGCACTTGCTCGACAGCGTCTTAGACAGGTTGATGGCGACACTGAGGGTATCAACACGCGAAATCTTGCATTGATCGACGCGGCAATCATGGTACTCATTATGTGCGATGCCTTCTCGGAATACCTCCCACAACTAGTAAGTGGTTACGAATAACTATACCACTTATTGTCTGATGTCTTTTTTTCGAAGGTTGGCCTTATTCAAATTTAAGAACACTACTAAAACCGATGTTTTATTTTGATGCACATTACCGATGGACTTAAATTGATACAATTGGGTTGGTCGCGTCATTCTGGCTACACGCATGTGACTCCTTGATTTTTCCATTCTTGGCTTCACATTACAAGTATGTGACTTGTATCTTCTCAGTTTGTGGTAGCTATGCTGTTTATGTCCTTGACCTGGAGAAGACATTTACTTATAGTTATGTAAAGACAGTTTGGCACAGTTGAACGTTATAAGCATGCAAAGGGATGGAAAGGCCACTAGTATAGGTGACATGAAGTGAATAGGGTGACACTAACATAGTAAACGAACCGTGACGATCTAAGAGCTTTCGTAGTTAAATGCAACATTTCGACGAACGCACTTCTACAAACTGGTTGTTATTCTTAGGCAAATTCAGTTTTACTTTCTACGTTCAAGATTGGGGGTCTCACAAAATCAACTTTAAAAATACTTAAAACTAGAATCAAAATTACACTTGGGAATTTGCGATTGGCAGTCCAGCCTCCTCATAACTTATTCCATAATCAGCTTTGGTGGCTATTCTTCCAACATATTTCCATTTGGTTCTTTTTTTTCCATGCTTGTCGGGCAAATTTTTACATTTTTTCCATCATTACAAGCTAAATTGTTAGGTGCAAAGACAGAAAGCAAATCAAACCACCATGCACTACGTCGCAAATGTTAAAAGCTCTCAGCATATTAGAATACCT